ACATGATATCAAACTTTTTGTTGTGGTGATGGTGGTGGGAATTGAACCCAGGGCCTTTTGCATGCTAGTCAAGCACTCTGCTATTGAGTTGAATCCCTAACTCATGTTATTTATTTATTTTGAAACAGAGAATTTGTAAGTTGCCTGGGCTGGCCCAAACATATGATCCTCCTGTCTCAGCTTGTCAAATTGCTGGGATTACATGTGTGTACCACCTCACCCAGTATAATACTAATTATTTTCAAACTTGTTCAGGTTTGTTTTATAGCTCAGTATGAGTCTGTGTTAGTGAATCTTCCATGAATACATTAAAAATAAGTTTTTTGCTGTTACTGACTGGAATGTTCTATATATGTTGATTAGACTCAGATGTTCTATACATGGCATCTAGATCTTGTTGGTTGATTGTGTTTTTCAGAGCTTAAATATCGTCTTGATATTCTATTTAGTAGTTTTATAAGTTTCTCAGAAGGATTTGTTGAATCCTGTAATTATAATTGTGAATTTGTCTAATTCTCCATTGAGGACTTCACTTCCCTGCAACCCTTCTGGTGTGGGACAGTACTGCATGATTCTGAAGGGCTAAGGGTTAATTTGCTAAGGCCCTGGGTAAATACTCGCATTTTCCAAGATAGTGGATTCTACTCTTTAGAGTTTGCAGAAATATACTTCTTATCCTATGGATCTATGGAAGTAATGACATTTCCATCCATTCTTTATCTTGTAAGGAAAAGAAATAAGTTGCTATATGTGATTGAGGGTTTTCTGCTCCAAACTTCCCATGCTTTGTTCTGAGAGAATGCTAACCTTTCCTATTGTCTCTCTTGTTGTATTGTCTTATCTTTGTACTGCTGTTGAAGCAGTCTTTCTGGTAGTGGAGTGAAAAAATTGTTTACTCCTAGGACTAGGGTTGAAGTTATTATGGTCTGTCTTTTGCATTTTGGAAAATGATGTTTGGGAGTTTGATGTAACCCCTGGAATATTTCTTTACTTGAACTCAGGAAGGAACAAAAATTCAAATTTGTTGCAACTCTTTTTAAAATTTTTTAATTGTAGATGGACGTAATACCTTTATTTATTTATATGTGGTGCTGAGGATCAAACCCAATGTCTCACACGTGCAATGCCAGTGCTCTACCACTGAGCCACAACCCCAGCCCCTGTCGCAACTCTTTATGGTGGATCCATGGAGGTATAGTCTGAGCTAGAAGCTCACTGTGGATCTTTAGGGATAGCCACAAAATCAAAGCTCAAATTTTTCAAATTGCTTGAATTCATAACAATTTAATAACTGCCTTCTAAGATGTTTAGTTATTTATGGATCCACTCATAAACTGGTATGATTTGGATCTAGCACATCCCTGAGTGCTATCAAACTAAAGGAGATTTTCAGGGGTCCTGACATACTCCCCCTCCTCACTAATATGTAATTCACATAGGAAGGAGTTAATGGGTTCTCCTAGATCATAACTAAGCAGTTTGTATCATCAGATTTCCCATAGTGGGGAGAATAAGAGGAGTAGAGTTGTGCTACATGGCCCTATCATCTCAAAATATATGGCATACTAGGTGCTACGATAAAGTCCATGACCAGAATTCAAAACTTGTCTAGGACTCCTTATACTTCATGCCTCTCAAATAGGTATCATGAAACTAGTTTACTGAAAACTATAGTAACTTGTCTATGATCACATATTTTGTAAGGCTTAGAACTGTGATATTACTTCAGATCCACTTTTCCTCAAAGCCAGAGCTCTTAGCATCTGTGCAATGAGACCTATTGTAGAACAGGTAGGAAGCCCTATAAATCAAAACATTCTCCTGATTGGTCTGAGGCATGTTTGGAGTTTCAAGACAAGGAATGCTTCAGGTATAATTATATAGTTGTTATTGTGCAGAGAATATTTTTATATCAAATCTGCTAACTGCTTTACTTCTTTTTAAAATTTGTGTTAAATAAAATACATAAACCACAAAATTTTTGATATTGAAAAAATAATTTAATTAATCTAAACATATTATGACTGGTGAATATAGCTTTCTTTGTGTTTCACTTTTAACTTTTGTACTTGACTTCTTTATATTTTCCTAGTTTTGTTATACATAAAATAATTTACAATCTTACTTTTCTTCAACTTGTTGGAGGTAGACACCTTATTCTAATTCTATTTTGGATACTTCTTAATTTTAAAACAATGCAGAGGTGCTGGGGTTGAGGCTCAGTGGTAGTGCACTTGCCTGCCATGTGTGAGGCACTGGGTTCAATTCTCAGCACCACATATTAATAAATAAAATAAAGATATATCAACAACTAAAAATAATTTTTTTAATTTAAAAAAATAAAGCAGAACCCAGAGTATGAAGTCTTGCCTCATTGACTCCTCAAAGTGATATTAAAAAGTTATATGCGTTTACTTCTTTCATTTCCTTCCAAATCAAATTTAGGTGAGATCCCAGATGTCAAGGACTATGAGTCATTCTTATTTAATTTGCCATTTCCAGAATATTCCTTGAAACATGGTGGGCATCACTATATGCTTCCTGACTTAATTTATTCACCTTTTGTAATGATCCTGATAGAAATAAATAGTAATCCAGAGTTTATCTATTTAGGCATCAAATGTGAGAGGTTTTTTTTGTTTTTGTTTTTGTTTTTTGGTATCAGGCACTAGACAGACTTGCACTGAGTCATCAATATATTGCATGACCAAAACTTTGACTGACATATTTGCTTTGCCACCACACACAGAGGCAATCACAGTTTTCAGTACCAAAAATATATTTAGGGGAGCATATTCCAGCCTTTAATCATATAAAATCCATCTTCATTAATAAGTGACTAAAAATCCTCTGTACTCAATCTACTTAGTTTCAAGCAACGTACAAAATACATGATGTCATTATAGACTAATTACCAGCTTGTCTATAGTTCCCTTGAAGACATTGACCATGATGCATCTTTCTTATGTACCTTTGACATTCAGTAAAATGTCAAGCACCTTGTAGGTACTCAAGTAGCATTTGTTGACTCATTTAGTAGGGCTTTCTGTATGTCTTTAAAAATAGACCCTGTGGGATTATTCTTCCAGTAAGAGTAGTATGAAGAGTTTGGAAAATTCATTTCCACAGGACAAAAGTGGAAAATTGTACAAAATTATTGAAAATAATCATTTTATGGAACTGCAGACAATAACTTGCGAAGTATTTCCTTATGGAAAACTGCTACTCTGTTGGGTAAAAGGGTAGGTTTGTGGCCTTTTAAATGAGAATTGTTTTCATGTCCATTCTCCAGTTCATATGGTGAAAATTTACAGCATTACTATGTGGAGGCAGTGAACTAGGTATGGGGATGTTAGCAGGCCAGTTAGAAGTTTTACAGGAGAAGTATTGAAGTAGAGTGATAAAAAGTAAGCAGTAGTTGTTCAACTCTCTATACCTTACACTCTGATTGCTAAGCTACTCATGTATAGGGGACATAAATATTCCAGTGAGCCAGGAATAACTGAAAGTCTGGAAAGACTTACAAAGCTGTCACCTTTGAATGTGTTCTTCAATTTTCATACAGCTTGAGTTGGCAAGCCAGTAAGGCCACCAGATTTAGCAAAGAAGACACAGGATGTTCAATTAAATTTGAATTTAAGATGCACTAAAAAATCATTATCTGAAATTGAAATTTGATTGGGCTTCCAGTATTTTATCTGACAACCACAGGCTTTATGTATCTGAACACACACTCTACTCAAATTACTGGCTGATGAAAAAAATAGAAAGGTGAAGGCAAGATTCCAGTATTCCAGTATGCAAAATGGCTGAATAGAGATAATGTTGTCTAGATTATAGAAGAGTCTGTTTTCTTAGTTTGAATACAGTTGGGGCCACAGTAATTCCCATCTAAAATGAAACTTAAAAACCCAACATCAAGAAAAATAAAACTGGGGCTAAAGATGTAGCTCAGTGGTAAAGCACTTGCCTCGCAGGCCCAAGGCCCTGGGTTTAATCCCTAGCACCACAAAAAGAAAGAAACAAAGAAAGAAAAACAAAACTAAAATGGAATTGCTACAACATGATATCTATAAGGTTCATCTTTCAAAATAAAGTAGTTACTAGAATTTCACTCTATGTGAGAGTAGATGTTGAATTTAGAAGATAGAGATTTTAATGCAACAAATTTAAGAAATAAATATTTAGTAAATTAAAGGAAAATATGTTGGAAATTAGTTAAAACTGGGAAACCTCCACAAATAAATAAAACCAGTGCTCCCTGGCTGATTAAGCCTCAAGCTCATCTCTGCTGGTATCTGCAGACCCCTCTGAATCTGGGTCTCATACTCCATCCTACCCCTGTCTAGAGTTATCTGCTCCACAGCCTCAGCTGTAGGGTCACCTAGCCCCTAGCCATCCTTCATGATAGCTCCCCTGGCTCCAATGTAACCCCTTGGGGTCTCACTACACAGCAGGAACCAAGATCTGCTCCAAAAAGCTAAATTCCTAAACACCGAACTGCTGGCTTTACAGATAATAGAATAATCCAGTACAGATGGATAGAGAACATGATAACAATGGAGAAAATTATAACTGCAAAAGTCCATCCCTTAAGAAGATGGAAATGCACAGGATCCTGGTGAAGGGCTTGACCTCAAATAAGATCAGGTCACTTCTTCCAGAGATTACAAATGCAGATTCAGTATTGTTGGAAGGCGGTAAGAGTTCCTATCTGGTTTTGTTTTCTCAAGGAAATATCAGAGAATATCATGAGAAGGGTTGCTGTTGGTAAAGTAGACAATAGAGAAGACACAGGCATGGTTGAGGCAGCCTGGCAGCAGATTCAAAACACCACCAGTCCTTCCTTTAACTGACAGTTAAGGACAGCACTAGGAAAGAAAATGGAGGCCAACCCAAAGCGAGAGACTGGCAACGACCTCACTGGGTTCCTACGCGCAGGCCCAGAACCCGCCAATCCTAGACTAGCTTCCCACCCCCCAACTCCCCCCACCCCACCCCGCGCTCCTCAACCGCCTTTGAGCTGCGTCTTTTTCTTGATGGTGTTGGTGTGGATACGAGGGTGATACTAGAGATGGCTTCTGCGCTGGGGTCAGGTTGCCTGACCCACTTCTGGCGATACTGGACCATCCTTTGGTCTCGCTTGGCTTCTTCAGCCAATGTCTCCGAGTTCTCGGAAGATAAACAGCGGAATAGGTGGGTTTTTTTCCTCCAAAGTTGGTGATAATTTTTCTCGCCGGCCTGGAGATGGCAGTGTTGTGTCGTGCACTGGCCCTGAGCGGCTCTTCCCCCTCCCTTCGTGCTTGAAAAAAAACGCCACGGAGCCTTTTTCTGTGAACAGGCTGATTTTTCCACTGTCTTGAGTCACACAGGACCTGAAGCTGTGAGTTGGTTGTGGCTTCTACTAGAGTCCCTCAGGAAAACTCACCATTTGGGAACAAAATCCTTTTGATTTTCAAATTAGCAATTCTCTGGAGGTTCTGTCTAGATTGTATTTCTCCTTCTCGGGTCTTCTCTCTTTCCAGGTTGTCTTGGGGTTTTATGAACCTTTATCAACATATTTTTCATCCTTTATTTGAGTCATTAAATCTTACTCTAGAACATTTGTTAGGCGGATAAAGAGTGTTAAAGAAAGCTAACCTTGTCCATGACTTATCACTAAGCCATAACCATTAATAATATCTTCTGATAAATTTGTTTAGAGGTTTCACATTCAGGAAGATGTATTTAAAACAAATAAAATTAATATTACATCGTGATTTCAAAACTCCACTTTATATATTCAGTTTTACGTTTTGAAAAATCATTTTCATATTATTGGTCACTTTTTTTTTAAAGAAATGCAACCTATTGTAAAATGTTGAGAGTTTCAGTAAAAACGAGTTCAAAACATTAAAATACTCAAAATATTATTATCCAAACACAGTCATCACCAGACAGCCCTGTGAGGGCAGGAGCTGTTTTGTGCGTGTGTGTGTGTGTGTGTGTGTGTGTACGTGTGTGTTTTCACTTTTTTATGGGGGGGGAGTAACTAGTTAAGTTGGTGATCAACAAACCTTGTGAAAGAAAATAATTAGCATTTCTATCGTATCATGTATATACATATATATGCACCTACATACATTTGTATGCATATGCATATACATATGTTAAGTAGCTAATCAGTCCTGAATGGGGGAGAAGGTGAAGGATGGAGGAGGACAACTGAAAACAAGATTACCTTATCTGACAGGCAAGCACCTGGAAGGTGGGGGCCTGATGTGTGGAAACCTCCCCAACCATAATTACATCCCATTAAGAAAAACCTTTGTTCTAAGATCATGTCACACTCTACCAGATAGCCTAGACCCGCTCATCACAAAATCTATCTGGATCCCCAATCACCCTGGCAACCAAAATATCAAGACCCTCACAAAGAAAGCTTGCTGAGGGCGATTCAATGGGAAATAACCCAAATAAGAGTGCAGGACATTGAGGCAAAAACAGGGGAACTCAATTCCTTTAAAATTTCAAATCTGTGAGCAACAAATCATTTCTGTCTTGGAGGTGATCCATGAAGTTCTTAGTCAAAAGTCAAAATATGGATGTGGGTGTGACTTTATGGGAAAGTCCCTGGGACCCCCAATAAAACTAGAGGGCAAAAGGGCACACCATCCTTCACTATCCTTCGCTATGAGAAGACCCACTGTCTCCCTTGAGAGTGTCCCTTTTCCTATGTTTTCTAATAAACTCATGCCTACTATCTGAGAGACACATCTGAAATGTTTCTGGCCTGATCTCAAAGAACCAGTGAAGAGAGGGCCTCAGGAACTGCCTCAGCTTTGAAGCAGGGCTAGTGCCCTGTAACACATGTATTCACGTCGATACAAATATATATAAAAATCGATTTTACTGGATTTAGCTGGTTCATTTGTCTTAGTGAAGGCCATTTTTTGACCATCTCGATGAAGATTAAATGAATAAGATATGTAGTATGTAACCCCCTTTGTAGATATGATAGATTTTTTTATTATTGCTCCATGTTTTGATCAGCTGTTAATACTGCATGTCTTTCCACAAGGATCCTGCCATGGCTCAAGTTGAAAGACCCGCCGATTCCCTGTCCAAGAAAGACGCACGAGGCACTGGCTGCAAAAGCAAGAGGCGATTTATTGATACACAGGCGCCTGCGGGTGCTCAGCGAAACCTCAGCCGGAGCTTCGGTGAACTGGCACACCGGGCTTTGGGGTACAGATCTTTTATAGGGTACAGTGGTCAGTTTTCCTCCTAGCACAGTAACAGGTATCTCATTGGCTCTTTTGAATCCAGCATATAGGTCACTTAAAGGGTAAACTTGTTTTTCACTATAGGTTCCTGGAAAAACCACACAAAAACCATTTGTTATTCATTGTATGGTTTTTCATTGTATGATCCCGTTTGCCCAACCGTGCCGGCTCCTTTCCCAACCATCCTGTCCTTTCTTAATCGTTTACACTTAACTGATTTTCTGAAAAATACATCTGACGTCTGTGCAGGTGCGGAAGCAAGCCCTAGTGATTTATTACTGGGCCTAAAGTTATTGGGCTGGGGTCTTTCAAAGTGAATTCATAAAACTGAGATTCGGTAAGATATCCTAACATTATTTAGTACAGTGGTAAAAAGCTAATAAACCTGACCTGCTGCATTGGCTTGTGTCATGTAATGAAGACCTTGGGATATGAAGAATACAGTAATTATGAATTTAGGAGCCAAATTATGAACATATTGGAATTAAGAACATGGTAATTTGACAGCAGACAGTATGTGTGAAGCAAGTATGCTCTGGCTGCAAAGGACTTTCACTTCCCAAGTCTAGTTAAAAGTGCCAGAACATCCTTTAGCATGGGGTGGGAGGACCCATGTGTACTATAAAAAATTTCCTTGGAAATAACATTGTAGACAAGTAATCTGAATGCATTTATACTGACAACTTCTTTATCATGTTTGATTTGGACATGCAGTCTTTTACCATTTTTCACATCCTGAAGGCTCACATGGAGGGTGTTGGGACAGGACTCAAGAGAACTTTCCTTCCAGTTTCAGTTCTACCAGCCTTACTTATTTTTGCTATCTGAGTCACTTTGTTTCTCTGATCTTGCTATTTCCTCAACTATAAGACAATAGGTCAGGCTTAATAAATGGATGGCAGGGAGGCAGATTCAGGCACAGGAACTCCTATATTTCCTATTATACATTGCTTTTCTTAAAAAGAAAAGATAAAATAAATGAGTTTAATTTAAAAAAAAAAAAGTTGAGATCATTGGACTACCTGAAATATAGTTTTCCACAGATGACAGTTAGTTGAAGAGTAAAGAAGTTATGAAAATGAGTTGTCTCAGCCACCCTCAGGAGTACCAAACAGTAAAAAGAAATGTCAAAGTAGATGGTAGGACAGAATGTGTGATGAGTTACAGGGTATTTACCAGAATTATGATGTAAAACACTGCAATCTGATTACTTACTGAGACTTCAGGCTAAAGATGTAATCTTACCAACCATTAAAAACATGTTGAAAAATGAATGTTTTAAAGATGTCATTAGCCACAATCTCATGGTAACAGTCAGTTGAAGTAACCACTATGTCATAATAGTTGCTGATATAGCAACGGTAGTATCTTAACAGCGCAAAGGGAATGTCTCTTTAGTATCTCTACACCATTTCATAAGAGCTTTAATAGCAAATAGACACTAGAAGCTACACAGTCTTAAGAGTTATCATATGGAGGGGGTTAAAATCATGTAACCTGGAACTGTAATTTCAGAGAATAAAGACAATGAATGTGTTTAGGTAAATTTTGAAAACTTGGCCATAAAACTCTTTGTGTGTTTATTTGCAAGCATCAGTGACTTCTGAAACTCATCTAGGGAAACTAAGAGCTTGAATATGCGTAATGTTCCTGTTTTGGGTTTTTCTTCTGTTTGCCTTGGGATCTATCTACAGCTGTAAATCTATTTAAGCAGCAGATACATAATTTCTCAGTCATGATGTAAAAAATATGTATTAGCAAAGGCTTACAATTTAGGTGTTCAAAAGATCAATATATTTTCCTCACCCTTTGCAATCTCTTTGCAGGAAAAGGAAAAGAGATGGAAACCAAGAAGACAACCATCACTGCTTCCATTCCAAAAGGACTCGGAGAAACCTTCTCTTTCAGGATTCTCAAGATAAAGAGGTAGGAAGTATGGTCAGATAGCCTCTCTCTATTTCATTCATTTCCTAAACTAAATGATTCAGTTTGATCTCTGCAATGAGAATATTATTTTTCCAAGAAAGCATTTTAGAAACATTGTTTCTTCAATGCAGAGGTTTCTGAGCCTCAGATTTTCAGCAATGATTATCAGTGTCCTACAGAAGGATGGAGAGGAAAAACAGATTTTGCTAAACGCAATCAGTAGGAATTAAGCCCTAGACATTTTTTCTACTCATATAAGACATAAAAATTTTACTGCCCTTATGTTAGATGGAAAATATATTTTCAAGCACATATGTTATTAAATAAAATATAATTCTTGATTCCTCCTAGGAAAAAAGTGAAAATGAAGTTGAGGGGTGGTTGTAGTGATTTTGCAAAATTTGAACAGTGCTGGAATTGAAGAGTTTGAATTTTAATTTCAGGAGACTTAACCTTAATGACTTGTGTTCATTAGTAAGGTTTTCCTTCAGTTGAGATATAGCTTACCAGTAAAGTATTAAAAGAGAATTTTAAAGATTTTCTCAATGAATCCTGTTAGTTTGTGACTAAGTATTGCTTACTTTTAGTGTTCATGAGAAAGAGATGAAAGGATTACTAATTCATGCCCTCCTCCTGGGACTTAGACACAGGTAGAGATATTTCCAGATCCTGGGCAGCCACTGGATGGGTAAAATTACATAAATCATGTGATTTATTCTCTTGGCTGATGGACTTATTACATATAGTGACGTGTATGAACAGTCCATTTTATTTTTAATGTTTACACCTTCAAACTTATAGCACCACTTTTTCAATAAATCTGTCTCTGAGGAGATCAGTATAAGATTTCTAGTAGTGCAAACAGGAAGACCCAAGTGTTTCTATATATTTCTGTCTTTCTTTCCAGGAATATTGATTTCATAGTGTTTTTCTGATTACTGAGTGGTACAAAACATTGAGAGTGAAAAATTATGTAGATATAAAAACCAGTGACTTACTGAACAGAGTGCCACCAAAAATGTTTGTCTCCTGCTGATATAGAAAAGGATTTGGTGTCCTAATGGGGGAATTCCAAGGAAGCAGCACAAATGAGAGAAAAATGAAAACAGGGCCCTGCACACAAAATAGAATCAGAGTTCTAGGAATCCTTGATTTTTCACAACTAGTAAACTGACTCCTGGTCAGTTCATTATTTAAGGTAGTATAAATTCAGAAGATAATAGAAACATTTGATGGGTTTTTGAAATCACTTTTCTATTGGATTTTTAGTAGTCATTCTCATCACCCTTGACTACATGCATTCCAAGAGAAAGAAGTGCTCTGGGAGATTTTGGGGATGGAGCTTTTGTTCAGTCAAAAAATGGGCTTTGATGAGCTGGTAAACACTTGGAATTCAATGTCTGGTCCAACATCTTCTTGTGAGAGAAACTAAACCACTGAAAGCATAGTTAATTTAATCCATCAGTACAGAGATGCTAAAACATGAATATCACTGCCTTGTTGATTTGGAAAGTGGTTGTAATTTACTGGCCTAACTAATTTGGAATCTCAAGCTTCATAGGATTCCACAGTTTCAGTGGTATTATGGAGCAGGAGCCTGTTAGTTTAACTGTGTTGGAACTTTGGAGCACATACTTCAAGTGTTCTAATGAATTTGTGGGATTATTGGTTTCAGCTAAGGTCTAGTTTCTTCAGATGCCTTTGAATAAGACTCATATTACAATTACAGAGATGCAGTATGTACTGAGTGGATTTTGTTTTTCTGTTGGGGTTCATAAAAATAAATAGCTCTGAGGTATAGGGAATGGAGAGAGGAGCAAGGACCTGAAAGAAAGCAAAATCCTGGGTTCACCTGCTTTTACAATTAGGAGGCATTATGCATCATAATGTATCATAAATATGAACGTGAATTCCTATTCTGTTTTATGAAGATATTCTATAATCGGTATTCTTACTTATTGCTTCAGTTGATCACAAAGTTTCTCCCACTAGCCTGCTAAGGTGCTCACTCCACTTTCAAGCTAACCTTGTGTCTCTCTTGTGTCTTTTCTCTCACCTTTATTCCAAGCTGAAATCTGCATTCACTTTCTCTTACTTCACTGTCTTCTCAATGTTGATCTGAGCTGATCTCTGAATCGCAAATAGCTATCCCTGCAGACTTCTTAGCATGGCATCCAAGGACCCTGATGACATATCCATTTCTTCTCCTGCATATTTTGTCTCCCAGTCTCTCTTCTCTGGGAGGCACCGGCCACAACATGGTACTAAATTTGTCTCCTCAAGAAATCTTCTTCTAGCTTGTGGTCTTCTTCTCCCCATTGGTCTCCACCCTACAAGGCCTATTTCAGGTGCCTTTCATTTTAAGAAACCTCCCCTTTCTCTAGAATGCAATGCATTCTTTGCTGCATTCTGCATTTGCTGCATTCCCCTCATTGGAAATAAACACAGTGCTGTCATTTTCTAAGCATTCTCCTTGATTTGACTCAGGAACTACCTATTGAATCCCTACATAGTCCTGGCAAAGTTCATCCTTGCACATAGATATGCAAGTACCTGTTCAGACAATGGTTGGAGATCAGAATGAATTGTACTTACTCAAGAGCCTTTCAGAAGTGGGGCCCTGACATGTAACTATGAGTCCAACTGACAAAAAGCCCCACATGTGATTCTGCTACTTATCCCAAATAGAATATGGCAAATCTCTGCTGGACTCAAAGCATCTCTGCTGATGGGGTAAACATGGAGATTTCATTACGGCCCAAATACACCTAAAATCCCGACTTTGCACACAGACCTGGGCCCCAGGATTTCTGTGATGTGCCTTTGTGAATTTTGCTTGTTGAGCTATCCTTCAGAGTCTTCACGGATGTGATAATATTTTGCCACATACAAGAATTTGTGAGGACTTCTATACTATATTTGCCTGGCACAGAGATAAGCATTAAGTGTATATTTAAAATCAGAGAAAAAAGCAGTGATCTTTGTAGCTGTCCAGTCGGATAGGCATTCTGATGAGAAGTTTCTATGAGCACTTAAGAGAAGTATGAGAAGGATTCCTATTTTATGAGTCTTTCTCCATCATGAAGCCTTTAGTATCTCATTCATCCTGGTAAAAAAATGTTTCCTTTCTTAAATCAAGCTTAGCAAGGTTAAATGATTCTTAATAAAGACTGAAGTTGTAACAGTTAAAACCATATACTGTTAAGGAGCAGATATTTTCTCCCAGTGAATCTGAGAATAAAACAATTCATGCAGCTGGATATCTCTCATGAAGAACATTCACAAAGGTAAAGTGCAACAAAGCACAGATTATCTGGTATGGGCTATGTTTATTACTTAGATTGCACTCTTGGACTAGATGATGTTATTGTATATGAGCTTTTAAACATTCCTTAGTAGTTTAAAGAAGAATAAACCTTCTTCCTAAAAATCCCGTTTATAGCATAACAGTTCATTATAATTCTTGGCACCGATTTCAGAAGTGACTGAATTATAAAGCAGATTTTCCTTGGTGTTATAGTAGCATACTGTAGTTTACTTATGAATAAAATCTTATTCTTCCCCAAAGTAATATATCTGTTGTACATGAGTTAGAATTTGAGGATACCCCAAAAACAAAACTAAAAAATATTTGAAATCTTTAACTATATTGATGTTGTTAAGATTTGCACATTCACCAGAATTTATTTTTATTGGTTCTGGGGATTGATCCCAGGGCCACTGAGCCACATCCCCAGTTTTTCTTTTTTTAAAAAAAAATATTATTTAATTTTTGAGACAGGGTCTCACTATGTTGCTGAGGCTTGCTTTGAATTTGTGATCCTTGTGCCTCAGCCTCCTGACCTTTTGGAATTACATATGTGAACCACCATGTCCAGCCAGAAGAAATGTTTTAAAACTACATGAAAAACTACATGCACTGATTTCCATCTTCCCCAATGATGTTGGAGACATCTTTTCATGTCAGGAAAATACAACTACATCATCATTTTAAAATGCTTTGAAAATTCTATTGTATGAGAGTCTCAGTACAGTTTAACTACTGTACTGTTTTTGAAGCTTTACTGATTCTTATTTTCATTTATTAAAAAAAAATTATGTGGGCTGGGGTGTAGCTCAGTGGTAGAGATTTGCCTAGCATATGCAAGGCCTTGCATTCCATCCCCAGTAGCACAAAAAAAACTGCTGATGTTACAGTAATATGTCAATGAACAGTTGTAGTTATGTCTACACAAATAAGGTAAAAAGAAAACTGTTTAAGTCGCACAGATATTGGAGAGATCCAGTTTTTCTTCACAATGATTCTAAAGAATTCTATTCTCCCTATGAATTTTGGTGTATTATTCACCTTTCTCATCATGGTGTCACCTTAATGACACAGTAAACTGGATGTTTGTAATGTGAGATAAAAATTGAAGCTAGATGCAGTGGCGCACACCTGTAATCCCAGTAGGTCTGGAAGCTGAGGCAGGAGGATCAAGAGTTCAAAACCAGCCTCAGCAAATTATACAGGCACTTAGCAACTCAGCAAGACCCTGTATTTAAGTAAAATATTAAAATGGGCTAGAGATGTGGCTCAGTGGTTAAGCACCCCTGGGTTCAATCCTGAGTACCAAAAAAAAAAAAAAAAAAAAAAAAAAAAACCTTGAATTCATTGGAAATGATTTCTAGTTCTTATCTTATTTTTCAGACAATACTTGAAAGAAAAAGCAATTCAGAAAGCCAACTGAGTGGAACCCAGATGTATGTGGTGGGTTGTTTATCCAATATATTAGCTTACTTAATTTTTGAAAATTTATAATTAAACCACGTTGTTACAATGGAGTTCCAGATTTTTACTTTCATGTTTAGGAAAATAATTGGTTAATATTCTTTTGGAACTGTTTTGACAACTAGTCCTTATGTCTATTTTAAAGCCCTTGCTAACAATTTTCACATGTGGCTTCATTTACCCTTCTTAACATAGGAATCTACTTGCATAAAGAGCAACATAGGATGCCAATCAAATCTGGGCAATGTAGTGTATAACTTAAGATGAGTAGCTCTAAATGACCTATGGCTTTTGACGATTCTTGGTATAAAATTTGTTACTGCTAACTTTGGAAAGGATGACCTTGTGAGAAGTACAACACTAACATTGTTAAATATCATAATTCAGATTGGCGTTGCCATGAATTATTCCCTTGGGAATCCTAACATTGAAAGGCAAAAAATTATTGACTATAATTGGGTTCAGGGATCCCTGAGTAGCTTCTGTGAGAAAACAAAGACTGTGAGTGATATTATTTCAATGTACAACAACATTTCTTTCTTTTTTGTAATTCAACCCAGGACATTTAACCAGTGAATCACATCTTCAGTCCGTTTTATTTTTATGTTTTTAATTTTGAGACAAGGTCATATTAAGTTGCTAAAGGCTGCACTCACTAAGTTGGTGAAGCTAGCTTTCAACTTATGATCCTCCTGCCTCAGCTTCTCATGCAGCTGGTATTATAGGCATGTACCACCATGCCCAGCTATGAAAAAACAATATTAAGAGCAAAGAGACACAAACAAAACCAAGTCCACAGATAGAAAATCTACGAATGCAGAGTACCACAAAGGCCAACTGTAAACCTAAATTTCATTTTAAAAAAATGTCCACTGCCTGTCAGCACACGTGTGGATCTTGACTTGATAAAGGAAGAATGTATATATCCACCATCAGGAGACGTGTGCAGAGTCATCACATATTTGCATGTACATGTGGATGTATGAATGTGAATGAATATATGTATCAAACAATTTATGTCTTGCATCTTAACCCACAGTCTGTCTTACTTTTTATGGCCTTAATTTTGCTTTCTTTCTTTCTTTTTTTTTTTTGGTGGGTGGGGCGGGATTGAACTCAGGGGTACTTGACCACTGGCCCACATTGTGAGGGCTATTTTGTATTTTATTTAAAGACAGAGTCTCACTCAGTAGCTTAGCACCTCACTTTTGCTGAGGCTGGCTTTGAAGTTGCAATTCTCCTGCCTCAGCCTCCCATGCCGCTGGGATTACAGGCATGTGTCATCATGCCCAGCCAATTGGTGATTTCCCTTGGAGGAGGAGAAAGTACTTCTCTGATGTTTGGAATGAATGGTACAAGCAGGAGCTGAGGATATATGGAAGGATTTGGAACTAGAAGGCCTTTGTCCTCACCCTAACATTTTCTAGCTATGGGACTTGGGCATATCAGAGATCTGTTTCCTCGTCTGTAACATGGGAGTGTTAACCCTAGCTTTATTCATAAGGTTGATGTGAGGGTGGAATTAACTACCTTCAGGGACTGTACTTTCTAAACCTTTAAGCCTTGTATAGACTTTGATGCTGCAATTCTCCAAGCTGAATGTAAAACAAATGTGACTGTGGCATAATGGTGAACCTATTTCTACCTTTCTATTTACAGTATTCAAGCAGTGTTACTGAAAGGAACATCAGCAGCATTCATAGCCCAGAGAGAGCAGGTGGACCAGAAAGCAACATAAATCGGATTGCTGCTGAACACGACCTGAGCACCTGTCAGTTCTTGCATGAGGAGAATATGCTGTCCCAAGGTCCTTACTGCCAAATTAATCAGATCTTGAAGGAAGCTCACTTCTACAGCTTACAGCAGCGAGGACAGCCCCCAACCTGATGAACTAGGAGCCCCTTATTCCAACTTAAAATGTGTTTATAAAAGCAATTGCATACGCACGAAAAAGATCTTTTGAGGTTTCTGTCTATATTTTAATGACAGGCTTATGGGCCAATTTTGTTGCACCCATGCAATTTCAAAAAGGCTTTAATAAAATGCTTATGATATTCTTTTCAAGTTGGGTATCAAATTCACATTAAAGTGACAATATGAGGAATCCTCACCTATGCATTAAATCCATTCTATGTCCATTCAGACTGGTATCCACACCTGTCAGTGAGACTCTCCATGTCAAATGTCTTTTTTTTTTAAGTATGACTTTTTATTTTTAAAAATTCAGTAGCCCAGTAAAGTATATGTAGTTTTCATTTAAATACTAATAGCCCCCAAAATGTAATTTATATTGCAAAATTTAGAAAACTTCATTCATTGTTGCACTGAAATGAACTGCCATGCTGCCCTTCACAAGATAGATGTTGAACTGAAATTTCTTTTCTTAAGTAATGCCAACAAATAGACACAGTGTAAGCCACAAAAGTGAAAAGTTCTGACTCCACTGTTCCTAATTCCAGGGAGAGTGTTTCTAAGGGTCTACTATATTCAGATAGCATAGTATCATTAATCCTGCAGAGTGTGCATATCAGGCTTGCTAGAAAACACTGCTCAAGGTTGTCACAGAAGTGCTTAATAATGTTTGGCTTAAACAAATGAGATTAGGAGCTCATGTGATCTCCTTTACAATTCCCCTGATTATAGATAGATTTCACATTGATAAAGTGTAAGCTATTTGAACTGTTAACTAATGGATCAATAATTATGAAACTATTCATTTTATGTTATAAGAACCCTTTCAAAATGATTATGGGGCCAGTTGCCATCACTAAAATGGACACAATAATGTGGCTTAGAAACAGTGCCCCATGAGCTGAAGTGCCACCAGAAGAAAAAGGCAGTATTCTTTATATACAGAGGGATATGTCCCCATGTTTTGGTCATTTTAAAGAATGAGTAGTGACTTTATAGCAGTGTTGGCTTCCATGGTGAGGTGTGGAAATAAAGATGCCTCAGGTTATCTGGCTGAGATGCCAGGGTAAAATTTGTCACCAGATTGAAAGGAAAGTGATTTAAGGTCCAACAAGGCTCTCTTGCTATTTGGAGGTGAACAAAGCAGAAACTAGCAGACATAAGAACTATGGAGAGGCCGAGAGAGGAGTCTTTGTCATCAGGCCAGATTTGAAAAAGACAGAAAGAGATAAGAATGAGATTTTTTAAATGACAGGACAAATGTTTGAAAATGAAAACAGTTCTAGAAAAAGGATGTATGATGTGGCATGTGCATACACACTCACACATTTTCCAAATTTCCATGGTTGTTTCATTTAGTGTGGATAAGACTTTAAGGTCAGACACTTGTAGTGGAATTTTAATGTCATGGGGGAACATTGGCAACACTAGTGGCCTCAAATGGAGGAGTAGGCATTGGTTCATCTCTTCTTTCTCAATGAGATGTTTTGTATAAAAGCATTGTTTTCTATTGCTCATGTTTCTATAGGTGGAAAACCAGAAGATAGACAGGAAGAAATTTGAATCCTAACAATTTCCTGGCAGAGAATAGAGAAATAACATGTGGCTACGTTTTCCTTTGTAAAAATAATGTGAACAACATATGAAAGAAGACAGGGTGTTTGAACACTGAATTCACAGGTACACAACATGATTCAGGAAGTCTTGCAGGCTAGGAAGGATAATAGAATGAATCAGACATAATTACCCTATGCTCATATGTAACTATACAACCAGTGTGACTCCACATCATGTACAACCAGAAGAATGATAAATTATATATATATATATATATATATATATATATCTGCATATATATGATATATAAAAGTGCATTCTACTGTCATATATAACTAATTAAAACAACAAAATAGTATCCTGTTTAGAATGCATAAGAAACACATTGTCATTGAAAACCTAAGGATGTAAATTTTCTTTCATTCTCCATTAATTTCAAGATTTGAAATATGAAACTATAAACATGAAGAAGCACAATATTAGGCTGGAGTTGTGCCTCAGTGGAAGAGCACTTGACTAAAATGTGTGAATCACTAGATTTGATTCCAAGCACCAAAAAAATAAATGAAGTATTGTGTCCATCTACAACTGAAAAAAAGAATCACAGTATTTTCCAATGTGGGTTCAATCATGGTCAAAGCACTTCAGCGAAAACCTTTTATCCTACAAATTGTATATGCCATTTCCAACATAACTTTTTGAAATGTTTATACCTGTTTACATATAAACCAGAGTAGATGTTTTGGCCTTAAAACTCATATGTATAAGTATGAGCAGCATATTTAGGTTTTGGAGTACAAGTGTTTTCTATGAATAACACAAGAAAAAAATGGACATTGATAGATATTTCCAAGATTAGGAATTTGAAGAAGGGGAGGAAGGTTAAGTGAAGAGGTAAAGCTGGACATTGTCTTAAAAGGACATGAGAGTATGAAGCAATGGCAGAACGCTTTGTTACAATCTGGCACCTTCTAGCTGCACACTTTCCTACTTGCCTCCTAGCAATTGGAAAACCCCCAGCTTCACCCTCAAGGCTAGACACCAGAACAAGACACAGCTTTTAGCTCTGACTCAATCCCCGTGGATCCACTTCATAAATGGAATCCAGCATTGGTTTCAGGATCTTCTCAGGTGACCATTGCAGAGTCCTCCAAGGAGGGCATGGCAGCTCCTCAGCGTTCTTCCACAGAACAGCTAATGAAGGGCTTCAGAAGTCTGAATCCCATTCTGACTCCAGCCTCCTTGCCCTCTGACAGATGGGCAGCTCCAGCAGCAATACAGGGAGGAGAAGACCCTGTGGGAGCGGTAGGAGGAGCTGCTGGGCCTCCCTCAGAGGAAGAAAGCATTCCTGGGGCACCAGAGATGCAGGTACTGCCATGATGTGGCAGCTTACCCAGTGGAAAGGGAGACAGAGTCTACTCCACAAGCAACAGAGCTCAGAATCGGTTCCCATGTGCATGTGGCTGTTTCCAGGGCCAAAGGCTGAGCATTTCTGCCCTCCACTCTGTATCCTGGGAAATGCTAGTGCAGGGTCTCATCAGCTTGATCTTCAGTCTGGGCACCACCCACTCTGGCCTTTGCCTGAAAGGGTGCACCAGCAGCAGCAGCAGGAGCAAAAGGAGATGTGCCAACTGGAGAAGCAGCTGCTCAAGCAGTGGTTGAAAGAAATCTGAGAGTCCTGCCCTCATGGGGTGGAGGCATGGAGGAATTCAGACAATGCCGTGCTGCCAGATTCAGAAAGTGGGCTCCTTTGGGGCAACAAACAGTGAGCTGTCCTCCAGTAATCCCAAGACCTGGGTTATGATTGGAATCCCACTAGCATGAGATTCCTTCCACTCCTAGGATGGGCCTCATCTCCCTGCTTGGGCTGTTAGCATGCCTGTGGGGTGTTGGGGGAGTGTTAGTCTATACAAAGGATGACTTGCTAGCAAGGATTCTTTGTCCACCCAATGTGACTTGTCATTATCCTTCTGGAAACTCATTTTCCCTATCCTGTTGTCAAAAGTGGACAAAGAATAGAGAGTGCAGGTGCCTTCCTAGATCCCATGCACTTTTGATCATCTCATTGACTGTAGCAAGGAGAAACACCAGGTGTGATGGAACATGTGTGTCAGGGAGTTGGATTATCGAGAGGAAGTGAGGAGAAGAGGAGTTGCAATCAGCAGCCCTTGAAAAGGGGGATGCCTACAGTACCTGCAAGGGGATGCCAAAATATTGTACATTTGGAGTTAAGCATTCAATGACGGTGACGTACATGTGAGTCAAGAAGTTTTTCCCCTTAGCAAGGAAGGTCATCCTATGGTCCCTTGAAGAAATGTATGATGGGCTAACTCAATGGTGAATTCTGAATGGACATGTGCAGCAAATGAACCTCATATTTACCTATAGGTTAGTTTGGTCCTGCCACTGACAGCCAAGTGGTGTCAATGACAATGGTGGGCTGAGTGATCCCACTTTCTCAGGGGAGCTTCCAAAGGTGAAGATGCTGAGTGATAAAGGAAGGAGAAGGCTGGGAGAGTTGGATCACCATTGTGGTGCCTTAGTCACAATGCCATTGGAAGAGCTTGGCAGGAAAAGTGTCCTTCTTGCTCGTGGGCAGTGGGAGGCAGAATCCCCTGCCTAGGAGAGCCCTATACAGGCACCTGAGACTTGCTGTCCCTGTCACTCCTCATTCCCAGGTACCCCACATGAGGTCACCGTGCTGGGGACACACATCTCTGATTGGAGAAATGTGTCAGGGTTCAGGAACATATGCTAATTTTTGCAGCATTTCATACATTACCTTTCCCAGTCTTCCCTCTGGAGTCCCATGATTGTACCAGACTGGGTGAAACAGCCTCTTCCACAAGTGAAAATGGTTTCTCTGCTGGAAGCACCTGGTTTCTGATCTAGTTACTATGAACAGGACTCTCATCCTCTGCTCTCTTCAGAGATTTAAGAGGCAAAGAAATCCCAACAACCTCCCCACAAATCCCAGGACAAACACTTTGACGCTTGAGGTTGCTGTGCTTTTAGAGAAGCCACAACACCAGCCATGGAGAGAATTATACTTGCTTTGAAGCTAAGCACAACCGTGTTCTCTTATAGTAATTTTGCCTCTGTGCAGACTGCAGTGCTTCTTCTTTTCCTCATTCCCTGTGTTTTCACATTGCCCCTCCACTTTTATGAGAGCTGTACTTCTCTTCTGTACTTTCTTCCTCATTCTACCTGATGTTCCTCTTCATTTCTTTGCCTGGCTGGTGGCCTTCCTGCTTTTCTCTTGGTACATGCATATATGGTTGCTGGGTGTGACTCTTCTATGGGCACAATGGAAAAGTTTTGTAGGTGGACAACAGACTGACTCGGAGGAGGTGCTTGGAACCATTTGCCCACAGCTCTGTTTCCCTGGATAATCAGATAAGCCACATCTATGAACAACATGAGCCCTTTCTGTGCCTGCTTTCCTGTTGGCTGGATGGCAGGGACTCAGCTTCCAGTTTCGACCACTCATCACCAATTAACGTGGTGGAAAGCTTCATCCTTTAGGTAACCAAACCAACTGCTCAGCCAAGTCCATTGTGACGGGGTTTGGAATGAAATGTCCTGAGTGTTTGCGC